CCAAAAAATGACTAATTCTAAATGTCAACTAGAGATGTTCCATGGTGCATAAGGACCCTTGAAAGAGAATATTTCAGCAGCTGAAGTGAAGCATAAACGTATAACTTTCCTTGGTGAAAAATGAGAACAGAAAAGGCAATAAACTCAGAACTTTGCAAGAAAAGAATCTTGAGTTGGAAGATGCAAGTGATATAATACATTAGTTTAACTCTCATGCTATGACTTTTATGACAGAGCAACTGAATACATAAGAGTGTGGGTTCATCCATTTAAAAAGTAAAGTAAAAGTAAAGCTATCCCTGTAACAGGCTGTGAAGGCTGATAGGGTTGTGAGACGTTGAACATCCCACATTATCTAGAATAGGCATGTTCAATGTGTCGATCACAATCGACCGGTCAATTGCGGGGTGATTTTTGGTCGATCTCATAGGCCTATAAGGAAATTACATGTGAAAAGCGTGTAAATTCACTTGTAATATAAAATAAGAAAGAGATCATAGCTACTATACAAGATCTTTAATTATCAAGAAACACCGTTGTGCGGCGAACAGAAATGATGTGTGGAAACATAACTGAACAGTTGTTGAAAGATGTTTCCAGTTGTGTTGCTTTCTCCCTCCAACTGGAAGAATCTACAGACATCAGACACACAGCCCAGTTACTAGTTGCTTTTACAGCAAACATCATGTGTCGTGTTATTTTTACCAATATTTTTGCTTAAAGCGAGGTACGATGATAGGAGGGGGGTGGTAGATCACTGGCAGTTTTGATGCTAAAAAGTCGATCACAACCTGTTTGAGTTGGACATGCCTGATCTAGACAATCGGCTCAAGGATGGCGGTAAGATTGTCAGCCTTACATGTCAGCCGCACTTTACTCCCCAAGAAAATTATTTAATTAATTCCTGGTACTCATTTCTGTTAGAGGCCGAGTCAACCAGGAGGAAGGATTAGGTCAACTGAAAAAAATCCAATGACCTCATCAGGACTTGAACCCGTGACCTTCTGGCTTGTAGCATAGTACCTCAACAAACTACGCTACCGCATGCTCCCAGGTTCATCCATTTATTGATCTGAAATGCATAACAAGAATAACTTTGAAAAGGAAGGCATTCGTTAAGTCACAAAAATGTATGAAGAAAATAATCCTCAGTGAATCAGTTCACATAAGTGGCGTATTTGACATATACTGTCGTATTTCAAAATAGGTTGAACGGAAACATGAAATTTGAAATGAAAAGAAACTACCAGAGAATGAACGCTGACAACAATTCATTTTAAACAAGATATACCACTTAAAATACCAGAACAGTAGCTGAATTCTTCTCTCTGCCATGAACAAATGCAACTGTGGATAAGTGTTCTCACAGGTGAATACCTTTTGGATGGATGAAACAAATCAACTGGAAATGTCCACTGTGAAACCGTTCTTGTGAAGCATAATTTTCTTAAGTGCACATTTCACAGGTTTCTCTTACAAAACTGTAATATTTTAGAACAGATACAGTTCTGCTAATCTACTGAGACATGTAAACGCATTGCCAGGCAACGGCTCGATAAACATCCCACAATACGCAAATGCAACAATAGTACGAATGTTTATAGCTCATTGCTAGGCAACAGAGTGCCAATGAACTGGGAAGACAGCTATCACATGACTTGTTTTCTGTGGTCTGTGCAAACGCAATAGAACCGTTTTTTCTGCATTGTCTGTGCCATGGTTATATAATATGAGTCCACCTGCAGCTAAAGAGAGTTCCAGAAGGCACAGAATGCCTGAAGATGCCCTACAACTAAACAGAAGGAACATCCCATTTGTAAATACGTAGTAACAGCTCGAATGAATGAATGAATCAACATATAAGGGGTGGGACTTCTCAGGCCTTGCACCGCAACCCACAGCCATCTATTGTGCGTCCCCTTTTGATTATCCCGAGCAATCCTGCACTTCAAATGGAGCGCAGGATTTTGTATATGGAGGCGTCAAAATAGTCGCTTGGTTCCATAAAGTATTGACCCAAGTGACATAATCTTAAATAAGCCAGGCCTCACATTCACACAGGATATGTGTGGCTGTTTCATTTTGTTCTTGACAGATCTGCAAACCAGTCTTTCATTTTTGTACATAAATGCTCATAATTACAATTTATCTTAATTGATAATCCACATCACCGGATCCAGTTAGTAAACTAGGCTTCAGAGCATGGATGGATCACATCCGTATGATTCAGAATACTGAGAAAGAGTGAGAAGCTTGGAGATGGCTTGCACAGTCCCACACTATTAACCTTTAACGGCCGAATGTTATAATTATTCGCATCAAGTAGCACCCCGAGCTGGCCGAATGTTATAATTTTTAGGGACAAGCCACGTGCTTCCTTTGTGAGTGCTGGCAGTTTGACCTTGGGTTTGAAACCCAAACAAACTCATGAACGTTCATGTCAGATGTTTATTTGTTAGCTCTGAACAATGAAATCGTTTATCAGGGTACTGGTTTCGAAACTATTTACGTTTAGATATGACTGTTTATGACCTGGTGAGCCAATAGAGGTCAGCTTTGTTTTGAGAAGTTAGAGGAGGAAATATTCGTAAGCACTTTCATAGCAGTGCTGCCAGAGCTTTCAAGGAAGTGTGGCTCATTCAGGGATTGGTTTGCAGTGTTGAATTCTCAGTTAGGACGTCAGTGGCGGATTTACTATATTTTGTTAAAAGTTAGGAAGTCAGTGTCAGACTCCTGTATTTCTTTTATATCATTTTTATTGTGTATCTCGGAAGTGGTATAAATACACTGAGCCAGTGTTACTTTGTGCGTAAAGACATCTTCGTCACCGTGACTTTCGGTATCAGTGGCGGACTGGCACTTTTCGACTGCTTTTGCAATTACTTTGCATCACAATTTTGCGAGTATTCTTCCACCTAATAGACATGTCTATTCTCAATGAATATCTGTTACACAAGTCATGTGATGGAAAAATGACGCACAAAAATTTCCGCGAAATTTTGGTGCGTGATTTTCTATATTTTGTAAAAAGTTACGAAGTCAGCGTCAGACTCCTATATTTCTTTTATATCATTTTTATTGTGTATCTCGGAAGTGGTATAAATACACTGAGCCAGTGTTACTTTGTGCGTAAAGACATCTTCGTCACTGTGACTTTCGGTATCAGTGGCGGACTGGCACTTTTCGACTGCTATTGCAATTACTTTGCATCACAATTTTGCGAGTATTCTTCCACCTACTAGACATGTCTATTCTCAATGAATATCTGTTACACAAGTCATGTGATGGAAAAATGACGCACAAAAATTTCCGCGAAATTTTGGTGCGTGATTTTCTATATTTTGTAAAAAGTTACGAAGTCAGCGTCAGACTCCTATATTTCTTTTATATCATTTTTATTGTGTATCTCGGAAGTGGTATAAATACACTGAGCCAGTGTTACTTTGTGCGTAAAGACATCTTCGTCACTGTGACTTTCGGTATCAGTGGCGGACTGGCACTTTTCGACTGCTATTGCAATTACTTTGCATCACAATTTTGCGAGTATTCTTCCACCTACTAGACATGTCTATTCTCAATGAATATCTGTTACACAAGTCATGTGATGGAAAAATGACGCACAAAAATTTCCGCGAAATTTTGGTGCGTGATTTGATTCTTCAATCACATGAGGCGAATATCACGGTCAGTGGTGTTTTTCGAGGGAGGCCAAGTTCATCTGGGGCCCAACTGAGTCGACTGGAGGTGAAACATTCAAAACACTGACCAGCTAAAGGGAAACAAAGACGTTTGTTCTATAAACAAGAAAAGCGGGAGCACGCTTTACCGCTGTAGAGTGTGATGTCGCGCTGTGTGATGGACTGCTTCGAGAGTGGGACACGCGCGTCAGAGTGAAACTGTGAAGCGATGCAGTCCAACCCGTGTACAGTCCGAACCAAATATTATTGTATATAGTGTCGTCATATTTACATCGCCACCACGATTCAAGGTTGAAGAAAAACAACATGTAAGTCCTTTGGAATTTCATAACGTATATAATAATGATTATATTTTGCACTTCATGACAAAATACTCACAGTTGATTTTCATTTGTAAAACTTGCCCTTTTGTATATATGTAGAAAATTTTATTGTCTTTCAGGTTCTTTTTAGTTCATATTCCGATGTTGCATAGAACGGAAAATATGCATTTTTTTCTGAAAGTTTGCAATGTTAAAGACTTAGGGCCATTTAAATTCCGGCCGTAGGGAGCTGCAGGCAATTTAAAAGTCCGTACGTTAAAGGTTAAACAATTCTTGAGTGCTCCCAGGTGTACATTGCTACTTGCCATTCCATCCCTCAGGGAAGTCTGAACAAGACAAGTGGATCATTCTAACAGATTTACTCCTTTGAGTGTCAAGTCCCACCAAACAACTACCTGCTTGAACTACCAACACTGCTTAGAGGTAAAACGAGCTGCAAAGAAATACCCACAATACTTTCCGCATCTGACCTTAAAAAAAGTCAAAGCTCATTTCTCCTCAACATCTGTATGTAACACTTGGTGATCCAACCAGTTAATAAGCAAAGGATTAATACTTTCAAATGGGAAAAGTATACAATAAATCAAATGTTTGTGTGCACGCGCATGTTTTTGAAGTTTTACAAATCATTCCATCAGTTATTTAACAACATACAGCTTCTAAAAACCAGGTTTCCTGTTATTTCCCACTTCAGGTAGCAACAATGCCAACAGATATTTCTAATCTTCACATTCAAGAAATTTATGTATAAATGTGAAGTGTGAAAGGGGCAACTTTCTGCCATCTTCCACAACCACCGTTACCCAGTTGACATCTTGACATGCGCAATCGTGCTACTATAATTTCTGAGTGCAATTCAAAAGATACGGCACACTGTGTATCACATGACATGTTCAGACACTGATTTATTCCTTACAGTGCAGCTGGACTTGGGCCTGACAATTATGCTTTTTCTGAAATATCAGATAAATAAAGAAAATAATATTTCAACATGTGTTTTAATTTATCATATCAACTTCATACAATGTCTATATTTCATTTTCTTACAAGTATGGTTCAGGGAATTCAAATGTTACCTCACGCCCTGTTAGCTTTTTGTACACAGATGCAAATGTATCCACCTGAAATCAGAAATCATGAATAAAAATCCATTAAAATACACATGACCAGTATTTTGGACACTGTCCATCGGCTTATAATTTTTCCACACATGGCTTATTGAAAACTGGATCAAAATGCAGTTTTCAAAATGTTAGCAAAAACATAAGATCATGGACAATGTCCAAAATATAATTAAGTTTACAGCTAAACACTATGTCAAAAACCTATACTATAATACTGTTGCGTATTGCCTATGTAACGCAACAAATAACATTAAGCAGGTCTCGGATTTTGAGAATTTTTATTAGGCACTCACTTTTACACTTACACAATTCACACTGTCCCAATTATTGCCACTTATGTCCTCTAGATGCTTCTTCGTCACTATCACAATTCTTGCTGCTCTCGGTCAAGTGTTCTTGGCAACTGCTAGACTTCAACTAACTTGTCTGGCGCCCTGAACCCCCTTTATATAGGCCTCTCACGGACCACAAAGAAAAGAGCCTATATTGTTGTAATGTGTTTACGGACTGAATGCATAGCAAAGGTTGTGGCACGGACTACATAGAAAACACTGCAGTCCCGTTGTTGCCTTGCATGTATTTTGGTCATGAGGTGTTTCATGGTCAGTTATCTAGCAATGCTGTGTCCATTCACATTACATGGCTCCCTTCTAAGGGTTGTTATTCCTGAACAGCCTACCGGTACTTCCCTTCCTTTGGTGTTCATCTTCCGGGCACTACCACCGCCCCCCTTCTTCAAGGGTGCTCGTCCTGAGCAGCTCCATGGTCCAGCGTTTGTTGATTCCCTCGTATCACCTTCATCCCTCACTTTCTCTCTTGTTCATTCACTCTAACTGAGGAGGGCGCAGCTCCTACGTTACCAACTCCTCTTCGATGTGCTGTTTCATTTTTTTCTGTTTCAGAGGGGGCTGACCTATCCATGGTGTTCAATCCTTGTTTTGTTGCTCCGGAGGATGCCGATACCTCCACAGCATCGAGTCTCTCCACAACCTGCCTCGGTCCTTAATTCCACTTTTGCATTCAGGTCTCGGTTGATGTCTCCTCCCGAGAGTCCATTCTTTTGTGGCTCCTCGCACCACACTGTCCCCAGCATGCGACGGCGTCTTCATTACACCGTGCCACTTTCTCACGATGGGTCATCGCTCTGTGGGTGATGGCCAATTTCTTTTGGGATGCACACTTTTCCCATGTCGCCTCCGGTCGGGCGACACCAAACTTCTTTCTCTGGGATCAACAACATCCCCAGATCCTTTCTTCCAGCTGTACGTGACACCCTGCAGCAAAGTTTCGGTCCCTACACCATTTTTTCTTCAGTCCTCTGACTGTCATCACTGTGGGGTCTTCTTTAGGGACCTCGTTTTTGGGCCACCTCAGGTTTCTTCTCCAATGAGATTGGCTTTGTCCAGACATGCTGCCATAATTTCTTGGCAGGCCATCGTCTTTACATCTGTTTCGGGTTTGATTTCGGCCACCATCTCCTTGTGGCTGGCATCCATCTCTTCTTGCCAGGCTTTCCACTTTTCTCAGTCAGCCTTCCTATTGGCTCTCATTTCTTCTTGGTTGCTTCTCATTTCCTCTTGCATGGTCTCCATCTTGGCCAGCAGGAGTTCCAACACTTGTTGTTACTTCATTTTTTTTTGTGGTGTTTCCATGTTCAATCCCACTTCTGTAACACCAGGTGTCACATGTTGCCTATGTAATATGACAAATAACTTCAAGCAGGTCTCGGATTTGGAGAATGTTTATTAGGCACTCGCTCTTGCACTTACATAATTCAGTGTTCCGATTACTGTCACTTACAATGTCCTCTAGATGCTTCTTTGTCACTATCACAATTCTTGCTGCTCTCAGTCAAGTGTTCTCAGCGACTGCTAGACTTCAACTAACTCGTCTGTCAAAGTCAAAGTCACATTGCGACTGACGGTCAGTTAGCCAATCTTGGTGTCCAGTCCCATCTGGGTCTGATGACCAGATATTTATTACTGTTTGATAGTTGGGTCTTGTTAGTGTGGGGCGCCTTCTCTGTCTTTTGTCAGAGTCATTGTCTGTAGTAGTAAGTCATTTGTCATAATGTAAAGGATATTTACTTTTTGTGTTAAACATGATAATAAATGTATTAAATATATACTGGGCCTTGTCAGTCCAGGCTTAGTACAGCAGATTATGCCCTACTTCTAGTAGCTTCCGCTACAATGGCAGTCTATAACTCGTCTGGTGCTTGAACCCCCCTTACACATGCCTTTCGTGGACCACAAAGAAAACAGTCTATATTGTTGAAACGTATTTACCGACCAATTGCATAGCAATGGTTGCAGCATGGATTGCATACAAAATGCCGCACTCCCATTGTCGCCCTGTGTGTATTTGGTCGTGAGGTATTTCGCAGTCAGTTACCTAGCAACAGTGTCCATCAACGTTACAATACAATATCTCCGTAATAGAATGTAAAAAAAATCATAATTCCAATTTAACTTAAAAGTTGCTCTGTATCAACAAGACATGGAAAACCTCTTGCCACTGTTTACAATACGCCAAGCGTAATTACTATACAATGTCCAAACTCAATAAGTGAGAGCTCATTTACTGTCTCAGTCCTTTTAGGAACATCACATTCAGCACTCAAGAGGCCCTTAGTGTACACACAAAGTTGATTCAAGAAGCTGTTCTATCTAGGACTGGGACTTCTCCTTTTACACAAAATGTTTCAACAATTCCTCTCAATTCTTTTTTTACAAACCTTATGTTCAATATTTGTCTGCTGATTCTTGTCAAGATGAACTTTGATCAACTGTGAGCCATCAAGTTTCATTCTAATTCTTTTGCCAACAATCTCAGCAGGGAACACCAAATCTTCAAGTATGGCATCATAAACAGCAGTCAGAGTGCGACTGAAACCAAATAACTCAATTATTAATGCAGCTCTTGAACATTAATCAACTTCTAGAAAACATGTCATCCATACCTTCTTTATTTCTGTGTACTGATATATTTACCGATGCTTTATCATTGTACACTTTTCTCTGGCAGATGGTGTGATAATTACTCTATGATGCTATCAGTAGCTAGACCACAAGATGAAATACAATTCATGTACAAGCTCTCCATTGTAAGATTCCTTGTTACTTACTTACTTACTCACTCATGGAGCTGAGCCCTTCTGGAGGAGCCGCCAATTCTGCACCTACTCAAGAATTTCCCACCATTTTATGGAACCCGAAGGTTCATTACCGTGTTCACAAGAGCCATCCACTGGTCCCTATCCTGAGCCAGATCTATCCAATCGATAACATCCTATCCTATCTCTCTAAGATCCATTTTAATATTGTCCACCCACCTACACCTCGGTCTTCCCTGTGGTCTCTTTCCTTCTGGCTTTCCCATCAATATTCTATACGCATTCCTCGTCTCCCCCATTCGTGCTACATTACCTGCCCACCTCATCCTCACTGACTTGATCATTCTAATTATACTGGGAGAAGAGTACAAGTTATGAAGCTCCTCATTATGCAGTTTGCTCCAACCTCCTGTCACTTCATCTCTCTTTGGTAAAAATATTCTCAACACCCTGTTCTCAAACACCCTCAGTCGATGTTCCTCCTATAATGTCAGACACCAAGTTTCACACCCATACAGAACCACGGGCAAAATTAATAGTTTTGTATATTCTAATTTTTATGTTTTTGGACAACAGACGAGAAGATAAAAGGTTCTGGAATGAATGGTAGCAAGCATTACCAGAGTTCAATCGCCTCTTCATTTCCTCCTGCATCAGGTTTTGATCTGTTATCGTTGTTCCCAAATATCTGATCTGTGCCACATTTTCAAAACATCTGTTTCCTATCTTTATGTCATGATTTTGCCCTGCATTTTGGCGACAAGACAGTAACATATACTTAGTTTCCTCTGTATTTACTTCTAGACCAACCTCTTTACTTGTGTCAATTAAAGTTTGTGTTTTTCTTTATGGTATCTACATTATCACCCAGTAGATTCACATTGTCGGCACAGACCAACAGCTGATGTGTCCCATTTAATTTCAGTCCCACCTGGTTTCCCTGGACCTTCCTAATTGCATATTCTAAGGCAAAATTGAAAAGTAGTGGCGATAAAGCATCTCCGTTTCAGACCATTCTGGATAGGAAATTTATCAGACAAATGTTTACCTACACGAACTTTACTATACGTTTCGTTTAAACACATTTTAATCAAGCTATCTAATTTCATGGGTATCCCAAACTCTATTAGAATATTGTACAATACTTCCTTCCTAACTGAATCATAGGCTTTCTTGAAGTCTATGAATACCTAACGTACTGTCCCATTGTACTCCCATTTTTCTCCAACATCTGACGAATGCAAAAGATCTGATCTGTAGTTGATCTGTTACATCGAAACCCACACTTATGATCCCCAATAATTTCATCTATATATGGACTTAACCTTGAAAGAAAAATATTGGACAAAATTTTATATGAAGTTGATAGCAGTGATATCCCCCGATAATTACTACATTCAGTTTTATCACCCTTCTTGTGCACTGGTACAATAATAGACTCCTTCCACTGATCAGGCATTTTTTCCTTGTGCCAAATACAAGTAATTACATTCTGGATCTTAGAATGTAATATTTCGCCTTCTGCCTGAATAAGTTCTGCCGGAATTTGATCACTACCTGGCAATTTATACCATTTCAATTTTGCAATAGCATTTTCAACCAAAAGGGCTAGGATCAGGTATTAACGGCTCAGCTGTATGGATTTCTGTCTGCCTAACATCACTAACCCCATGTACGTTCAATAAATGAGAGTAGTTCCTCCACCTATTAAAACTGTTGTGGGAATCTGCAACCAGATCACCATTCTCGTCCTTCACTAAGTCATTGCTATGCTGGTAACCCCTCTTAAAGTCATTTATTCCTTTATGCAGGTCCCTAATGTCCTTGTTCTTACTGTTCATTGCAAGCTCATCAATTTTCTTTCTTTCTTTTCTTTCTTTATCTTTCAGATATTCCTTCTTTTTGTTCCTGTAACCATTGCAATTTGGCAATTTAATCGAATAATTTTGAGCATCCTTCATCGAACCATGGCTTATGCTTCTTCGTATCATAATAACCTAGACTCTCTCTGGCAGACATTTTTATATTTTCTCTAATAGTTTCCCAAGCTTTATTAACACCCACCTCAGTTTCCAAGTTTTCCAAAGCTGCGAACCTATTTGAGATTTCAACACAATATTGCCCTTTACCCTCTACCTCATTTAATTTATTGAGATTGAACCTCTCCATATGAACTCTGTGTGTTGTTTGTTTGCTCACTGCCAGTCTTTCCCTAACCTTTGCCACCACCAGGTAGTGGTCAGTATCACAATCTTCTGCCCTGAATGATTGGACATCAAGTATACTTTAGTGACATCTCCTATCTATCAAAATATGATATGACTGTGTATCTTCCCATCAGGAGGTGTCCAAGTAAATTTATGGATGTTACAATGTGGGAACATTGTACTTTTGACAGTAAAATTTTGATGGGGCAAAGTTTACAACTCTAATTCCATTATCATTACTAATTTCATGCAAACTCTCATTCCCAATTGTTGGTTTCAAATGTCTTACCTCCCTACTTTGGCACTGAAATCTCCTAACAAAATTTTCATAGGGTACTTCGGGAACTTATCAAATACATGTTCTAGTTCTTCACAGAATCTATCCTTTATGTCATCAATTTTATCTTCTGTTGGGGTGTGAACATTCATAACAATGATATCACACCAGCAACCTTTAGTATTATATACGATATCCTATCACTAACAAATTCTCCCCTCTTAACTGCTGATACAATTCTCTTATGTACGAAAAAACCTGTACCTAATTCATGGTTTTCATTCCCCTTTCCATAGAAACATGTATAGTCTCCTGCTGGTGCAATGCCACCTCCATCCCATCTGACCTCCTGTACCCCCCGCTAAATCTGACTTACATTTTAAGATTTCTTCTGCCACTGCCCTGAGTGAACCTGCCCTATACAAACTTTGGACATTCCAAGTGCCAAATGTCATATCCATTTTCATTAGCTTAGGTCGTTTATCTAAGGAATCCATCCAGTCCGAGGCTTTGTGTTCATTTTCATAACATAATGATTTTTTACGGTGAGGAGTTGTTAGTCCCACGCCCAACCCCCAAACTGGAGGGCCACCCCTTGTCAGCTGTCTGCGACTGCTAATTCAATATATTTGCAGCTTCCCCCCAAAACTGGAGGGTGCCTCCTCCATCCACAACGTGAGGACGCGACATGCCATGGTGACAGGGACCCACCTAACATGGAGTGAGACTCCTTGTTACAAGAAAAAAAGCTGAAAATGTTACACGTGTCCTGTGATGCTTAATTTTCCAGAGTACTTCTCACCAGTGTCAGTTGCTAATGATATACAGCATGATTTTAGGTGTACTCCAAACAGTGTATAGCAGAGGTCAGATGAGCTTGAATTATCATGAAATATGTACATGATGAATACTGCAACACTTTTAACCTTCAGGACCTGCAATAGTGAAGCTGGTACCGCTGCACAGGAATATGGCTGGTCGACATTCCAGATGGTTATGCTTTTATGACTGTAGCAGCGCCTCTGTGAGACAGGAAGTGTGCTGACTATGGTAAAGGGGAACATACGCTGGCCACGTGCTATACAGACACCAGCCAATGAAGATGGCATAACTGCTTCTGCAGAACAAGTGACATGGAGAAAGTCAAGCATCATACCATGAATACCGGGACTACTGCAATTAAGGGTTCTCTAAGTACTTCATGATGATCAACTGCATCCATACCAGTACTCACAGAGTTCACATTTGTTTCCAGTCATCCTCTATGGATGCAATTTTGCAAGTGGCCATGCCAGTAATATACAAGTACCACAGAGGCAGGAATAACTGTGACTTTCTCAGGTCACATATTACAGGTAGTAATGACGCCATTCTCTACGAGGTTTGCCGAACTGCAGCTGTCTTTGGTGGGGACACATCATGGACCAAGGATGCGTCGGGACACAGCCTTGGGACACCTTGTGGTCCTGCTGGGCAACGACAGTCTCGGGGTCTGGGCTAGTATGACTAGCCAGGACTGGGAAATGGTATTACGACTGGAGCCTCTCGCGCAGCAGCAGAATGACTCTTGGGTATTACTATGGTGTACCCAGAATGAATGCAGGAGAGCACTCATATGGGGGTAGGTTCGGCTACTTGAGTTGTCTCCTTAGAGTACCGATACGGTGCCGCAAGCCTTCGGGCTCAACACTCTAAAACGGTCTGACCAACCCATGTGGAGGGGTGGGAATGTGGGGAGCTTTTATGCCACCCCCCGGGCGACTGCTTCATGCAGGTTTCCCTGGTCGCAACCTTATGATTAGCTGGTGTCACACACTCATTGATCATCTGGGATATGCCCCTGGCCCCAGTCGAGCACTCTTGGTCCTGGAGGATTGTGAGGGTTTATCCTTAATAGGACTGAACCACCTAAGCCAAGGTGTGATGCATCTTGGCACTGGGGTGGTTATTAGCTGGTGTCATGAATGATCCCCTCGGGGCACCAGGCAGCACCCCGTTGTATTCATGCCTTCCACCATATGGGGCGCTTTGGGTGGTGACCTTCTGTATCCCCATGACTCGTGGGACCAAAATGAAAGGTACCAAAATAAAAAAGTGTCATAAGAACCTTAAACAGAAGAGGGACTCCCCTCCAAGGGGATCTCTACAAGAAATACTTCAGCGGGGGGAGGAAGCTGTGGTGCACTGTTAAGGTGCCCGGTTGCAACCAGCGAACCTGCTGTTGAAATTTCAGCCAAAGACAGGGACAAACCAGTCATTCAAAACCTGCCTGAGGCAAAAACAGAAAAC